AAATGTTTCACAAAAAAATTACATAGCTACAGCAGTAGACATGTCGATCCTGTGAAATTACGGATGACTGATAGCACCTAAATCCTGATCAAGGAGGTATATGCTAAACCATATATAGGGAGGCTGTAACTGAATATTGATACTATATAGTGATCAACTAATATCAAATAAACAGCTCATTGGTAATAATACAAAATTTTGATTTATATATTTACTGAAAAAAAAATTTTTTTATGTATTATGGGATACTAACACATTCAAATGACAACACTTTCATTGGACAAATTTGAAATTATTAAATAAATTTTTTTTTTATTCCAAGTTTTGTAAATATTAATATATCAATTATTTATGATCAACATCCTACAACTGATCAATCGAACAAATCTATAGTAAAGATAACATATTCTCCTGCAACCATTTCAAAATTGCCATTTATAATAATAATATTTATAAGTAAGGAAAATACCTGTCAAGTATGTCAAATAGGCCAAAAAAAAAAAAAAAAAATGAGTCAAATAATGATGCAACTGGTTCAATGCAAGTCACTTCTTTATCAGTTACAAAAAACAAATATGAAATTAGAACTATATGTTTGAAATGATGAATTATTAACATGATTCCTTTATATAATTAATTACCAGAATTAATGAGAGGAATGAATGGAGTGAGTATAACAAAACTTAGTTTTTAGAATATTTATTATTATTTTATTTAATAATATTCTGAACATTTATAAATTATTCAATAGTTTGTATAGTTGAACATTTTATCAATAGTCTATATAGGCGTGATTGAAGTAAGTATTAGGGACAAGATCTATGAAGCTTGCAAATCAATTTTGTAAAATATACTGATGAATGTTTTGTCAATTATTCAATAGTTTGTATAGACGTGATAGAAGTAAGCATTAAAGACAAGATCTTGAACATTTTATCAATAGTTTATATAGGCATGATTGAAGTAAGTGTTAGGGGCAAGATCTACAAAGCTTGCAAATCAATTTTGTAAAATATACTGATGAACGTTTTATCAATTATACAATAGTTTGTGTAGGCGGATTGAAGTAAGCGTTAAAGACGATATCACAAAGCTTGCAAAGCGGGCCTTGAAAATGAACGTTTATTGATAGTTTGTATATCAAGATCTACAAAGCTTGCAATGCTAAGTTTTGCAAAATGAATGTTTACCAATTATTCAATAGTTTGTATAGGCATGATCAAAGTAAGTGTTAAGGACAAGATTTACGAAGCTTGCAAAACAAGTTTTGTAAACCAATTATTCAATAGTTTGTATAGACATGATCAAAGTGTTAAAGGCAAGATTTCTTTTCTTTTAACTTATATATTAATAAGATCACCATAATAAATAATTAAGTGCCAGATCGGATAACAATTAGAGAATTTTATATATGACAAATAGGGGCTAATTTACATACAATAAATATAAAAAATATTGTCACACAAGGAAATCAAGTTGCCCATCGATCTTTTTTGTTTATACAACATGAATTTTTATTTGCCAAAAAAATAAACGATATAATATAAAATGAAAAATCAATTTGCTTTAATTGATGCAGGTGAAATTATTAATTCAACTAATTAATATTATTATATTTTTCAGATAATAAAAAAAAGGATGTGATTGTTACAAATCAAGAATTTGCAGGTAAATGTACTATTGAAAAATTGCATTATTTTTAAATTTTGATTAATATTTTAATAAAATATATTTTTTGTTGATTTAGCTGATCACTTTCCTCTCTCTAAGGGTTGGACACTTAAAGCTAATCAAAAATTTGGAGACAGAGGCTCTGGTAAACGAATGTCACTACAAGTTATACAACTTCTTGAAGGTTTTTTTTTGGCTGGTACTTTAAATAAAAGTGATCATTATGATGCTGGATCAATGCATGCAAATTTGGTTGTAATGGCAGAAGAAGGTAACTTAGATAGAGATGAGATTCCAAAAACTGAAACAATTAACAATTGGATAAGTAGATATTCCGCAGCATTCAGAAAAGAAAGTGCAAGAACTGCATTACAATCAAATTCTGGAAGTAATAAAGTTCAGTAAAAAAGCTTTTGTGAATAAATGGAATTGATTTTAATATTAATATCGCAAAAATGTTACTTTTTTTACCAGAAAAAAAAAGGAAATCTACCTGCCCCATCTAAAAAAAAAATTTTCACTTGTTAATGTTTAAACTCTTTTTACATTTGCAAAATTAGAGATATATTACATAATTATATTAAAAAAAATTTCGAATTTCTTTGTTCTTTTATTATTATTTTATTTTATGAATATAGTACACTAAACTTTTTAAATAGTAAATTTGCCACAAATTTTACTATGCAGATCCTCTAATTCTTATCCGATTGGGGTGTTACACATCAGTATAAACACAACATAGTTGAGCACACTTATAAAAAACTATATGTAAGGATTTTTTATTGGGTGAAATGTAGATCATTTTTAATAAT